TGGGAGACGGGTGGGGGTTAACTATTAAATTGATTGTGTATATGGCAGCTTTCAAGAAGTTTCTGCCTAATCAAATATAAATAAACTTTGCACATATTGAAAAAATCATCAAAAACGCTTTACACTAATTTGAATAATATAATTTGTTGTAAATCTATATGAGAAAATAGATTTAAAAAGTTCCAATTATGTGCCAAAATCCCCCCCCCCCCCTTTATCCACAATCTAATCACATCATTAATTTACTTGTAGTTTAATTTCCGACTGGTAATGAATTAAGGTTCATTGATGCTCTGATAAGAGAGATAACTCTACAGATAAGAAAGATAACTTTCTGCAGACATTTTGTCATGAAATTCAGTGAATTGTCATGCCAGAGTTTACAAGTCTCTATCATAAGGACCATTCTATAGTTAACTCAAGCAAACCTATCATTCAGAGGTTGATTTCTAGTTCTATTCCTAGTATATTTATTAATTATTTTTAATAGTTTACCAAAAACATTTATACTCAGTTCCTTTAAACGGTGTAAATTGAAAAAAATCTATCTCTAAACGTATAAGTCTTTTAATTGTACAGAAATAACAGCCGCAGAATTGTTTATAAACCGTAATTAATATTTTATTTCATTAAAAAAGAATTTCGAAGGGCGATAATGAAACAGTAACTCTTGTTTATGGATGCATTTTATTTTACATGCACAGAAAACAATTTGATATTCTGATTTAAAAAGCATCGCTTCAGTATGTTTTCTAAAGGGAATTAGATAGGTTTGATAGTAAATATTTTTTTATATATACCTTCATATTTCTAATTTGATTGTGAGATTAAAAATTATTGATCTTTCTAATGACCATATCAAATTTTCTTCACATCATGATTTGACATATTATTCATTTCTGAAAAAGTAAGCAACACTTCATACTTCAAACTATTTTCTATATGAATTTAATGTTATAGTTGTTGCTGAAAATCAATGTTTGGAATTAAAAAAAAAATGTTGTGAAATGTGGAGCAGAGGGATATTGTCCCTTAAGAATATGAAATACCTATAAAATGGAGGCCCATGGGTCACATGTTCACTAGCTGCAGGTGTAGCATTATGGTTTTATATATTAGTCTTTGACTGCAGATACTCCTGTAATGCAAAAAAGGTGCAATTTTCCGGCGCAATATTTTTTTCGCACTTCTGGGGAGAATTTCTCCACTTTCCAGCATCGGTCAATTTACTACCTTTCACTCCCTAATTCTAGGCACATTATTTAATCAATCTGTATATTTTATCCATCTCCCAACCCTTTATAGTCGTCTCTACTCAAGATAAACTCGCTTGATTAAAATTATTTGTTAAATTCTGAAAATATCTGAAAATTGACACATCAAGCGAGTTTATTGCCTGTAGAGATTACTATAAATGGCTGGGAGGTGGACAAAATATACATATTGGCCAGAGAATGTGTCTAAAATTAGGGAGTGAAAGGGTAGTTGATTGACTAATGCTAGAAAGTGGAGAAATTCTGCCCAAAAGTCCTCAAAAAATATTGCGCGTAAATTGCACCTTTTTTGCATATGGGGATCTGTAGCGTTATGATCAAAGACAAATATATAAAACCAGATCTGCAGCTACATGGTCACCTGAGCATATTATGCTCAATTTGATGAATACATGTATTATGTAAATTATTGAATTATATTGATTTTTCCTTGGTAAAGCCCAATATGAAGAAGTGTGCATTTAGAGGCAAACACCTTAGTGCGGGTATTACTGTCTCATGACAGCATCTAGTTAAAAGTTGTCTTCACAAACCAAAACTTGACTTAATTTCACTATGCTGTTTATTTCATGTCACATCCAAACAGATGATCTTCTGGCAAATCATGGTCATGCTTGGTATCAAAATTCAGTATTCAGATGAGTCACACCTATCCAAAGAAATTGAAATTTTTTTAATTTATAATTCTTTGACTAATAAAAAGTGCAACTCATGAGATAATTAGACTATGAAATTGAGTTCTAAGATATTGTCACATTTCCTGTGTATAATTTGTAAAAGTACTCTTTCACCAATTAAAAGAAGTTTACACCATTTAAGGCAGTCATTTATGCTATCCCCTAATAAGACAACATACAAGTGTAAAGTAATAATGCACTAGCAAGTTTAGGATAATGTGCAAGATTATTTATGACAACATACTAGCACGAGGTGACAATGTGTTAGCATGTAAGTCAGTAATAATATGCCAGCACACTGAATCCAACATGCAGTGAAGCTAACACTCAACAGATTGTTTAGAGTTGCATGTGTTTGCATGATGTTTTGTGTTAACACAGCAGCGTGTTGTTTAAAGTTGCATTGGAGTGGCAGTCTGTTGAAATTAACATGCTAGCACACTGCAACTTCACATCATTGGAACACCATAATTTTTATAACAGGCAAACCAATATATTATAATTACTAAGTAAGTAATTGCAACTGTAAATGCTGATTTCATGGTGACAATAATATCGGTAATTCACTGTATATCTGAGAACTGATCAATTATAAAAAAGTGTCAAGATAGGGCCACTTGCTAAAGCTCAATAGCACTTTCATAAAAACCTGCCATCTTACCGACACAAAGCTAGGCTAACACACAGTTCGCCATCACAACACTACAAAACACTTTCGCACTAACACAAGTTCGCACCACACGCAGTGACGCTAACACACAACACACTGTCACGCTAATACAATTTCACACAACAAAATATCAGGCTAATACTAGTTCACACAACACACTATCATGCTTACACGAATTCATAAACACACTGTCTCGCTAACACAAGTTCACACAACACGCTGTCTCGCTAACACAAATTTACACAACACGCAGTTTCGCTAACACGAGTTTACACAACACGCAGTCTCGCTAACACGAGTTTACACAACACGCAGTTTCACTAATACGAGTTCACACAACACACTGTCTAGCTAACACAAATTCACGCAACACACTGTCCCGCTTAGATGAATTCACACAACACACTGTCACGCTAACATGAGTTCACACAACACGCTGTCTCATTAACACAAGTTTACACAACACGCAGTGTCGCTAACACGAGTTTATGCAACACACTGTCACGCTTAGATGAATTCACACAACACACTGTCACGCTAACATGAGTTCACACATCACGCTGTCTGGCTATCACAAGTTCACACCACCCCCTTTTGCACTAACACACAACACACTCTCACGCTTACAAAAGTTTACACAACACACTTTCACACTAACATGAATTCACACATCACACTGTCACGCTAACACAAGTTGGCACCATACGCTGTTGCGCTAACACGCTGTCATGCTAATATGATTACACACAACACACTGTCAGGCTAACGCGAGTGCACACAACACACTGTCACGCTAACATGAGTTCACACAACACACTGTCTTGCTATGACAAGAAATGCAAGATCAAGACAAAGACATATGCCAAGTGAAGTCATGGCTTGAAACAAATACCAGGCCAGCTTTTGAAGATATTAGATGCAAAGGATATTTCCTCAGATCCCTTTGGAGTAAATGGCACAGACTAACATTGGTAAATGGAATTGTTTGTAGACAGTGGACTGTGTTGGAGACAGATGAAGTCAAACTGCAACAGGTGTTACCTCTCTTTGAGAGAAGGAATATTTTAAAGCATTGTCATAACGAAAAGACAGCTGGACATCTCGGGGTTGAAAAAACATTGGCCAGAGTACAGCAACGATTTTACTGGCCCGGTCTACAACAAGATGTTAGGCAGTATGTCACTGGATGTGATATATGTACAAGGCGCAAAAACCCGAATAAGAAAAAGGTTGCACCCATGCAGCTAGTGCCATCTGGGATGCCAATGGATCGGATAGCGACAGGCATCCTTGGAGAATTGCCTCTTACCGAGAATGGAAACAGATATATTCTCGTAGTCTCTGACTATTTTACAAAATGGACAGAGGCATTCCCCATGCCAAATATGGAATCTAAAACGGTCGCAAAAATTATTGTAGAAGAGGTTATTTCCAGGTTTGGAACACCCAGAATAATACATTCCGATCAAGGGCGACAGTTCGAGAGTGAGCTGTTTGGTGAAGTGTGTAAGCTTCTACACATTGAGAAAACACGCACTACTGCCTACCATCCCCAGTCAGATGGGACGGTAGAGCGATTTAATAGAACTTTAACATCAATGTTAAGTGCGTTTGTACAAGAGAACCAAAGGGACTGGGATGCACAAATCCCATATGTTATGATGGCCTACAGATCGGCAGAACATAAATCTACAGGACTAACACCTAATATGCTGATGTTAGGTCGAGAAACATCTTTACCTCTAGACTTAATCTATGAAATGCCAGAACCCCTGAAACAAGAAAGTCCAAACAACTGGGCTTGGGTCCTACGGGAAAGGCTAGAAAGAGCACATAGTTTTGTCCGTCAAAATATTGAAACCGCCATGAATCGGCAAAAGAGGTACCATGATATGAAAATGGCATGGGAAAGATTTAAGCCTGGTGACAAGGTGTTTGTATATTTTCCACAGAAGAAAATTGGTTGTTCGCCCAAGCTTACCTCATTTTGGTGCGGGCCATTCGAGGTTCTTGAGCAATGGTCCGATGTTCTTTATGCCGTTGCATGTGGTAGAAAGGGTGAAAAGCAAATCATTCATTGTGATAGGATGCGCAAAAAGAAGGAACAAGTTTTAAACTTTGAAAATTTAGATTTTGACAACGAAGCATCTATAGATAAAGACGAGTCAGACGAAATTGACTATGAAAGCCCAATTAATGTAGATGCTGTAGAAGAATTGGTTGATGAAAGTGACCATAAACGCATTCGTAGAAAACCCAAATGGTTAAATGATTATAAAACTTAGAATTATTAAATTAAGAAGTAGCAGAGATAATTATGTTTGCTTTGTTTATAGAATAGAGATGTAACTATTTTATTTCTTTATCATTTCAGCTAAGATGGCAAATACGAAAATTACAAAAGCTAAGGAAAACAAATGCCCCTTGTGTGATGGCGAAGTAGATGCTAGTCGCTGGAGGGAACATTTGCTAGCTTGCAATGGAGGAAGATATCCATGCAAAGTCTGTGGAAAACTTTTCAAAAAGAGGCTTTATTTGATTCGTCATAAGAGGACGTTCCACGAACAAACGGAAGATCAGCAAAAAGCAGATGGGAAGGTTAAAGTTAGTGAAGAAAATAAAGACGAGGAAGATGAATCATGGTTTGAACAAGATCCAGGAGATGTAATTCTTGAGACCCTTAGTGTCAGCGAGAGCAGTTCCCAATCTGATGATTCGAGTAGCGATGATGATGATGGTGATAAAGGTGCTGGTGAGCTGATGAATAATGCATGTATAGGAGATCATGATGAAACTAAACAAGATTCACAAGATGTCAAAAGCGTGAATGAAGAAGCAAGCGCTGAAGTCAAAATCAAATCTCCAGAGAAAGGACGGGTAGTTCGAAAAGCCACGGCTCCAGCACCCGTGTTTGCACCCAAGAGAAGAACCCCTGTTTCTCTCCCTGAGAAACCAACACCACTTGGGAGATTTTCATTTGGATCTACAAGTACATGCACGAAAGCTACGCAAACCAATTGTGGTTGTAAAGACAGATACGTTAAGAAAAGAAAAGTTCACAAGGTGGTGTCAACGTACACCAAAGACCATAAGAACATTGTAGAAACTGTCGAAGAAGAGGAATTCTTCTATTTGGAGTGAAGAATAGTGTTTTATGACACTTTGTGTTCTGTCGAGTGACAAGTACATTGAGCAATATGTTTATTGATAGGACTCATTCGATTATTATTTTTTTGCGGGAATGTCAAGAGATATTGCATTACCTTTAAACTCATTGTAAATAATTACTGGTATTGAAATATGTGTATTGAAAAATAAAAGAAGAAAAAAATGTTTTATTTCATTGATATGCGGGACGCATATGTTTCGGAGGCGTGGGTAATGTAGTAGAAATTTCCTTGATCAAATTAATAATATGCAAATTAGTTGTCAATCAGATGCTTCCTAGTGTATTAGCTATATAACATTAAACGTTTTAGTGACTAAGACAAAGACGGTGACGTAGCGTCTTTGGGTAACTATAAATACTTGCGAGCGCTGATGCTCGTAGTTAGTATACCAGTGGCAGCTGATCAGCGTGGATCGTGTTAAAAAGGTAAGGAATTTATTGTGCCTCATTTGCGGGTCTCAATATACTGCAGACATACCATTTGGGGTGCATTAGGTTCCAAACCTATTGAAATAATATGTTTTACAGAGGGTGTTTGGAAACACTGCTCTGAGACATAAGGTCTGGGAGCTCTGGAAGCTCAGATAAATGGTTTCAGACCTTGGATAGCTATAGCACTAGGATAGCTCAGGAACATTAGAGAATCATTGTTTGTATATATTTATTAAATCTATTTCCATGTAATTCTCGTTTAGTTTATTTTTACCAATCCATTATTGACGTAGGCAACGTAAGGAAAATTATATATTTTCTTTCCCATGACTGGAGAACCCACAGTACATATTACAATATTATTCTTATTTGCTGACAGAGGATTTAACAGACTTATATTACTGAAAGGATGATTTAAAAAAAAATCTGCATAGCATGATCAGAATTCCTTAATAATGAAAAAATCAAATGCAACAGTTATCATTTTTTTTTTAATAGCCCTAAAATAAATTCCCCAAAAGATCATCTTTTGGATTGTCCAAAAATATTTTGTGTCTCCAAAATGTGCAAAAATATGCCCCTATAATAAAAAAAAATATTTTTTAAAGTGTTTAAACCCAGAAATACCATAAAAAATATACATGTTATTAAAACTAAAAGTTTAAATCAAATTTTTAAAATCCTTTTATAAAGGTATTTTTTTTAAATAAATTAAAAAATCTTTAAAATTTAATTATTAAGGTCATTCTAGTTTTTTAGTAATTTAACCATGCAAAAATAAACACAAAAAATCATAAAAAAAATGTGTGTGAGGGGGCTTATTTAAGTTTTTTTTTGATAAAAGGTTTTTATGATGAGAGAAACAAAAAAACTGAATATTTCATTATTTAATTTTTAAATTTTTTTTGAATTTTTTGAATTTTCATTACATGAAAAACCTTATCAAGGATTTTAAAAACCTTAAAAGCAAAAGCTTTACAAATATGCCCTTTATTGGGATATTGTGTGGACCGTTTAATCGATGAAAAAAAAAAAATTTTACAAAAAAATGAAAAGCTAGAAAAGGGCCCCAATCACTTTTTTTAAATTTCTTACACAAGACGTTGTAAAGCCTTCAATAGGTGTGCTAAATGCTCAATTCACCTTGTCCTGTTACGAACATGTACAACCTGAATTAAAAACAAGATCCGAATTTACTCTAAAATTTTCCGGCAAATTGAATATAATTAAATAAGTGCATTACAAAACAAAATATGGCAAACGATTTAAAAAGCATTCATTTTTACCTTTGTTTCAAGGTTTAAGGAACCAGGAAGTAGGAAAAAGCTAAACAGGTTCTTACGCTGACTTGTTTTTTTTTTTTCCCGTAACAGGAAGTGCAAGTAAACCGGGCTTATTCGGCTTGTCGGTTTCGTATTCGTCACAAATTGGGAAAGCCCTTTTAACTTTCATTTTCGTCATTCAATTTTTTTTTTTCATGAAAATTTTTTTCCGTGTTAAAATCAACTTTGATGACAACGGTTATAACATTTACGTTACGGAACCAAAAGCAGTTTTACTATGGAATGCAGTACGTCACATATTACGTCATGATGCGGCTGAGAAAACAGAAAAGAAAGAAGAATGACTGCATATTTTCTGTAAGTTTATATTTTCATCTTGAATCTTCTACTTTTTATACCAGATAGTTGTAATAATTTTCTTGGGAATATTTGTTGACAACTTAAAGAATAGATCCAGGTAGATACTGCTGGTGTGTTGAAAGATGGACCTGGCACAGGCTCTCTGCATCCTTATATTATCACGATACTATTGTAAAGGCTTAGTGAACTAGGATAGACCTAATGGTTTTTTTTAAATACTTTTGCACCCGAGTGTCTGAAATATAAAATGCAACAAGCCATATTACACAAAACTGCAGAATTATACATAAATGTACAAATCTTCAAAATAGAGAGTTTTCCATTGAGGTAATTTAAAGGCAAGAGTTATTTCCCATGGCCGCCATGTTGTTGGGCAACATTCCCAGATCTCTTCATTATTCAACTAAGTTCAATTTGTTATATGCCGGGTCCTACGGTACCGGTGTACTTTACTTTGAAAGTCACGAAATCGGTCAAAAAAGTTTTAAATAATCATTTACCATGTTGTGTGAATAGGAAAATTAATTAATTACCTTCTTATGATGTTGTAATTGTACTGTTTACATGTTTTAACACTAGAAAGACAGAAATCTAACCAATTCTAGCGTTTGTGTATTCAAGGGACGTTACTCTGGTACCGGTGCAATGTTTGGCGACCTATAATAGTCATAAATCAAAACAAAAGACGTCTTTTTTAATTATTAAAATCAATATTTTTTCCCGTTAAAAAATAATTAAATTCTGGTTGTAAGGATGTATTTGATTGGATATAAAATTATTTTAACTCGTATAAAATGGGTTGCCTACGTCACAATGACTTACGTCAAAAACGTATCAATCCGCCTGACGTTACATTCAAATTTTGTGAAGTCATTTTGTTAGAAAAACAGTCTTTTTGTTCTTACATCAAATGAATCAAAATTAAATTATAAGCAATGAATTTAATAGCTACCATTTTAAACGGTATAAATTGGGTTGGAACAGTTTTCGCTTTTTTATAAACCGCTTCGCGCTTTATAAAGAGAAAACTGCCCAAACCCAGGTTATACCGTTAAAAAGGTAGCTATTAAATTCATTCCTTAAATAATGTTAGATAAAAAAAAATGGATTTATATGATATTATAAGAAATTATTTCTATCTTAATTCACTAAAATATATTATACTGGTTACTGAGGTAAAATTAAAAAAAAATTCTTTTGAATAAACGGTTGTTAAAGCCTCTGTTTATTCATAATCTTGAGATTGTAAATATTTTCCCCCTTATATTTCTGGCATGTATGTTTGAAATTGGTTAATAAAGAGGAAAATTCACTGCTTTGCCCTACAAGATGGCGGCTAAGGGGAAAACTCCTAGGCAAAATATGTTAAAGAAGTAGGTAAAAGGATATGCCTGGTAAAGTTCTCATGAAATGAGCTGCCTTTTTTTTAAATAAATATCAGATGTTATAGCCATTAGGTATTTAACTTGTGTACATGTACATTCAAAAATATATGCTGATATAAAGAAGCTTAGTTATCATGGAAGTACATTATATAATAGGCCTATCAAGAAAGCAAGACAGAAGTCTCAGGGGCGGATCCAGGAATTGAAGTTAAGGGGGGGGGGGGGGCGCAAGAGTTTAGGCAGTGGGTATGGTTGCCGCCTTGAGGCCCCCATTGTGTCCAGGGCAAAGCCCTGGTTGGGGTCCTGGGGCGAGGCCCCCGTAATGTCATGGATTCTAGAGGGTTTTTAGGGTAAAAATGAGGTCTACCGAGTAGAAATTTTAAACATTTTCTCGGCAAAACTATGTTTTATGCTAACTTTGACAATTTTAGGGCGCGCACTAGTTACTATATATAGTACTTTCCAATAATGAGTTGTCACGTACAATATACTACTACTGTAGGTCTGTATTCTTTATTGTGGTAGTTATGAATAATGGCCAAGCTAAAAGCAGTTGTTAACCTATAATTTTTAGCTCATATAGGCGTGCCATATCAGTGCATAGACCTAAAGCAAAGGGTTTGCTTTAGGTATATGGTCACACAACAAAGAACTCAGTTCTTTTGGGAAAAAAAAGCCTTCCCATCTCTTACATACATGTACCTAATTACTTTTCATTCAAATAATGCAATTTAAGGGTATAATAAATCTGAGAACTAAGATATTTCATCATGAGATGAATGCATGGTTGTCTAGTCAGAGCACTTAAAGTGGAAGAACGTCGTTGGAAAAAAGAGCGGCATGCATTGGACCAGTAATAGATTTAACATACTGGGCCCTAGAAATGTAAGACACCTCGGTTCAATGACACCTCGAACTTTAATACATGTTACAGGAAACTCATTCCCAAATATATCCAACAATAATCAACTCATAAGCTTTTTTTGAGCATCAATTTTTTTTTCTTTCACAGCTTCATTTAAATGCTTATTTAACAACACCTTTCTAAAACATCAAGTCATTTCTCAACTGTAATTACTCCCAAAACAATTATATGGCTATGACGTCATCTAAAGTAAGAGAAATATTGTCAAAACCAGATCAGAAGACGAACTTGGGACCAAACTAAAGACTGATGATCTACTTCCTGGATGAGCTTAATCACCCGTCTGACCAACACTTGACTGATATATCTTTTTTTCTTTTTATTTATTTCTTTTTATTATACATTATTGGTAACCGATTAATTATAATTATTGTTTTCTTAATTTTAATGAAAAAAGTATATTTCACCTTTCATTTTTTTTTGGGGGGGGGGGGGGTAGGGGGTGGGCTGATGTTGTTAAAACAAATCTGATTTTAATGGTCTTTAGAATTTTCTAAATATAACACATTCGTATTGAAAATAGTTACATATCTGGAGAAAAAAAAATCAAAATTAAAAGGTTTTTTTTTTGTATCTTTGTCGTTTAA